GTTAGATGCAGCCATATAATAAATGAGAATGAATAATCGAGACAATAGCCTAGTTTGGGAATGGGGCATTACAGTTTATACATTCTAGACCATTTGTTTATATGTTTATATATCTGAAAAATATTATGATATGTTGAATTTTAGACTTACATCCTAGTATTTCCATATGTATATTCCTTGCACATAATTATTGTGAACGCTCCGAAGTGCAAAGGTGAACGCAGGACACACAAGTAAGTTCAGGTAAGTATACAGTATTAGTTGAATTGATGGGGTTATGGTATGACTACATTTATGTTTTAAGCAACTCCGACATTGTCGTGCAGGTTGCAATCGTAGGCAACTCCGGCATTATCGTACAGGTTGCTTATGAATCGTACATGTTGTATTAGATGCATTTAAAGCTCATAAACCTGCATCCCGGTGTTAGTGCTTCCGCCCGTGGCCAGGGCACAGTCCTTCACGTAATGTTCACCTCTTGCACCATACACTCACCTTGAATTCAAGGTAGGTGCACATGCCTGTCGTCAGACCACTATAGGTGGTTCCGACTCGTATGTGACTCTTCACGTGATCGTAGCACTTGAGCGTATTCATTTACACCCAGTCTTATTGTACAGACCACTACAGTGGTTCCAATTTGTGTGCCGGCGTAATGCCGTATAGGTCACTATAGGTGACTCCAGCTAGATTGATTGATGAGATATGAATATGCCATATAGGTCACTATAGGTGACTCTGGCTAGATTGATAGATGAGATATGGATAAGTCGTACAGGTCACTAGAGATGACTCCCGACTTATGAGCTAGCATATGTGATGAGATATGGATAAGTCGTACATGTCACTAGAGGTTATTCCCGACTTATGAGCTTGCATATGTGATGAGATATGGATAAGTCGTACAGGTCACTAGAGGTGACTCCCGATTTATGAGCTAGCATATGTGATGAGCTAGCATATGTGATGAAATATGTGATGAGCTAGCATATGTGATGACCTAGCATATGTGATGAGATATGGGTAAGTCGTACAGGTCACCCTAGGTGACTCCGACTTGCGTACTAATATGAGTTATTAATCGCATGATTATTTGATATTATTGATGACATGTTGTGTTGTGGTATATTATGATTTTTCTGGAAATTATACAGGTGTTGAAGCGAGGGGTTATAATGTTTTATATGGTTTCTATTAAAATCTTACTTACAAGGTCACTCACCCTTGTCTTGTCTTCACCCTCCAGGTTTTATCAGCAGAGCTTTCTTATCGTCGAAGATTTGTGGCGATTCTTAGTATTGGAGATTATTTCGAGGGTACGATTCTTAATTCACTCTTCTGTACTTACTTATGCTCTAACGTCACGTGTGAAGTGGGTTTATTTCCGCTCACTAGTGCACTTTGGTATTTAGACACTTTTAGGTTTAAATTTATTCACAATTTTTCCACATCATCACACTTTATGGCTTCGTCACCTTCCAGGTGTCAGCCAACACAGCTCGATTCGGAGTCCTAGTGGACATTCCTGGTCGGGGTGTGTCATCTAGTTTCATGAATATTATCTACTTATTGGTCAAGTTTTATAACTAGTGTTTAATTCTTAGTTCAATTTCATAAGGTTTGAAACTTAGACCCTTTTTGGTCTTGTAAAAGCACCCATTGCGCCGAAAACGATGAACCCAAAAATGATCATTTAAATCAAAACCTTGAGAAGATTATGTTCTCAATAATTATATTTAAAAAACTGTTTTCAATTACCAAATTAAAATTTCCTCATTTTTTTTTTGCGTACCTACAATAATAAATGTAGCTCTCCATCCAATTTCTTGAGCTTGGTTGTTATCTTGGAGAAAATTTTCCTTATGCCCGGAATACAAGTAGTATACCATGTGTTATTTTGTAAGTGGTGAGAAATTTTATTTTTTATGTTATTAATTTCTTAACACAAGAATCTCACAACTTGTATAGAGACATGTGGTGTACCATCCCGTGTTTCAAGCATATTGAAAAATCTTTTGTCATCTTAACTACTATTGGGAAACAACACAACAAAAATAAAACTAGAGAATGTAATTCAATTTGAAGTCTTTTTCTTATTCTAAGCAAAATAATAATAATAACAATAATAATAATAAAGAATCTATTAACGTAGCTTACAATGGGAGAAAAAGTGGAGAGTGGAAGGGGGTTGGGAGGGGGGACGCGTCTAGCGCAAGTTGGGTTTTCATGTGTTTTTTTTAATTCTTTTGTCCTTATTATTAAATAAAGTTAGTAAATAATTTTTTATTAAAATGTAAATATTTGAAGCTATTTTCATTAGTTTTCCTAAAGAAGAAACCCTGTATTTTTTGTTGGTATGTTTTTTAAGGGACCTTTAATAAAAAAACTCTTAAGATAAAAAAAATAATTAAAAAAACACTTAATAAAAATTTGTAGTAATAAGAACAAATAAATATATCATACATGACACGATTGGGATTGATCAAAGAAAAAATCAGGTGAAGTTTAGTGATAATATCGTAAATAAGTTAAACTTTGGTGGCACTCATGTTTTTTGAGGGGTCAACTGTTTATCGTAAAAAAAAAACGATACTCTAAATGAGAACTAATGTATGAATAAACAGTTGACCCACCAAAGTTTAGCTGAAGAACAAATAAATATATCTTTTTTGTTGTCTCTGTTTTTTGAGGGTAAGGTTTATGTCCCCCTTAACTAGGTGTAACTTGTTTTTTTGTTATCAATAATAAAAAATTAAAAAAATTAAAAAAAAAAAAGTTGACCTATCTAGCTAGAAACAATGTCACTTAATACTATAATCTAGTGGTATTTCACTTTACTTGTAAGTGAAAGGTATTTGGTTTGATTATTGCTAAAGGCAAATTCGAACCAAATTATTATGGCTAACTCATTGTCAGGCTTAGCTCATCCTCCCTGAATGTAAATAATATTGTGTATTAAAAAAAATTATGTAGAAATAGTGAGTGCCACCAAAGTTAAACTTATTTATAAAAAAGTCACCGCCTCTTTCATTTCTATTTTTTTTGAAAAAAAGTTTGTGAGGGTTTTTTCATTGCAACGGTGTATAGGGGATGGGTGAATAAATTGGTTCCGATCTTTCGAGATTTGAACATAAAACCTCTCATTTACAAGTAAAGAGAAATACCACTACATAGTAGAGCTAAGTTTTTTTTTTCTTTCTAAAAAAGCGATACTCTAAATGAGAAGGGGTGTGCTATCCACACACCCCATTTTACTTCTCACACACCCCTTGATAATTCATGTCCGTTGATCTTCTTCAATTCATCCGATCTGACGACCGAAAATTAAAAAGGTGTGTGAGAAGTAAAATGGGGTGTGTGAATATCACACCCCAATGAGAACTAATCAAATCGTGTTGACTCTATTGTAACCCACCAAATTCACATCTTTTAATGTTCAAGTTATGGGAAAAGCTTGCATATAGCCCTTGTGTTTACACCTCTCTCTCTCTCTCTCTCTCTCTCTCTCTCTCTCTCTCTCTCTTACATAAGTTGTCACAAGATAAGAGAGTAGTGACAAACGGATATCAAAATGGTTCCATAGAACGGGGACACCCAAGGCCCGATCAAAGAAATTGATATGAAATAAGTGACATATAAGTTTGCAAGTGATGATGTTAGCTGGTAAGGATTACAGTAGATTTCCAACATGACATCACTGATGAGGATGACTTGGTAGTTAACCTTTCTAAGCTTGGTGGTCATACAGTTGTAGTCAATAAGGTCATTTCCAACAGAAAAAGTTGACATAAATCCATCAACAATTATAGCATGTGAAAAATTATTTTTAAATGAACAGTGGTAGACCATACTCATATATCATCTTCAACCGAAGAGCTAAACATAGCTATCTCAATAATTTATTAGTTTTATATTTATACTTTAAATTTATTGGTTAATTTTTCTGATCTAGCCGTTAAATTTGAATCAATTATTACAACATGAGGAGTTGGGATGCAAAAAAAAAAGGGGCTAAGAGGGAGGCTTCATTTGACCAACCTATGCCCTTATGGCCAAATAATGACATGATATGCTCCATAGAACTATAGTCCAACTATTGATTGGAGATAAGTTTCTGAACAAATCAGTTCATTTTTTTGCTTTTGGACCTTTAGCTCTCTTCATTGGAGATAGCCAAAGAGAGTAGTGCCCCATTATCCATTTGCCAGTTTTCCCCTGATTCCAATTTAGGTTCCCTGAGTACTACTCATGATGTAAATGTAACCTAGTGGTTGGCTCACCTAATAACATTACAACTTCTGGACTAATTAAGTTGGCCTGCCAAGAATATAACAAGCACAAATACAATGATTTTGTGGACAACGAACTTTAATTGAGTTGCCGGAGAGAATCCAACTATTCCTAGTTGCATATACGTCGCAAAAGAAATAGATATACAAGGAATTACAATATAGATTCTAACTGTTGAGGTTACGAGGAATAGGGTTTAGCATCCAATTGCTTTTTGAGACACCACCACGACGTTTCAAGAAATTGGGTGGTCAATGTTTGCACGTCTTAACATTATTAGGATCAAAATTATGATGCTCATAACTTTATCATCCATCTTTGAATTGATCCGAGTTTCTGCAATCAAAAGGATAGGAGTCACAAGCATGATGGCGTGCACGTCTAAGCTCACGAACAAGCACGAACACGTGTAACAAGTCATCTTCGATGAGGAACATAGTTGCTAATTATCATTCATCATCACAAGAACTAAAAGGCATCTTGTTGTGACAACAAGGGACTTTGAAACCACATTAATTCCCACCTAACAATGTGAAAAGCACAGAAGAGGAAACAAAGGAAGTGCATAAGAAAAAATGGAGACCAACCATGGTCCCATATTAACAAATTTCCCCCCACCCTCTTATCAATAATTTGTTCAAAAGCCCCAATTTTTCCCTTCACTTTTACTTCAGGAATAATTGGGTTTGATGTGGATTTTGAAGAGACAGTAAAAAGGAGTGAAATACTAGAAGTATAAACATATACAACTTAACTGTTATGCGGACACGTACAAGTGTAGCTAAGTTAGCTAGAATAATGTGCTATTCTCTCACATTGAAGTTCCAATCTCCCTATCTAAATTAGAATATAATATTGCTTGAATAAAAGAAACTGCAACTGTTACATATTTGATAATTTACACAAGATTGGATGTAGCCCAAAATATGTATATTAGTTCTGAATTTCTTTGAGTACGAAGTTATAAACCACCACGACAACAAAACTGTATCTGAGTCTCTGAGGATGACCAAAATATAATTCAACATCTGTCTGCTCTAGTGATCTTCAATCTTTTCACGGTGGTCAAGAATATCCTGTGTATCAAAGCCAAAATATGAGAAGGACACAAGTATATATTAAGAAAATTAAAACGGAGGAGGAGAGGCGAAAGTTGGTAACAAAAATAGAGTTATTAAGCGCCTGTTTAATAACCATTCGTTTACCAAACTGGCCTCCCTAGGGTTATGCGTGCTTACTCCCAAGGCACATCTCCAACCAGCATCCAGTCCCCTTCTTGATCTTGATAAGTCAGTACATGATATTTGTCTGAATGAACATGATTTTCCTCAGGACCTGCTTCCAAAATGGTAGCCAAATTAAAAATATGAACCCAAGGAAATCCTAAAATGTGTGTTGATAACTTACATAGAATGGTGGTCTTGAACATGAGGCAAAGCGTTGAAATCAAAGCAGAATAACCATCATGGTCAAACAAATTCAATTTTCTACCAATTGGAATGCCCTCCAAATAGACTTTCACAAATAGGGAGGGATGGCGCCTGTTGTCTGCTGCTCTCCCTGCAAGTGTGCTCCTCAAGATAGATTTGATTGGTGGCCAGTTTATCAATGCTTGCTCCCTGTAAAATATGTCTATCAACTTTCAATCATAACATCTATACATCCATGCGTACATAGATATATATACACATGCATACAGAAAGATCAAAGACGTTTACCTTTTCAAGGGGCAATGGGAGTCTAAAACAGAGTTACTCGTCGATACGATAGGTTGATATATATATATATATATATATATATGTATATGTATATGTATATGTATGTATGTATACAAAAATCAATCAAGATGAGAACTTCTTTGGCTGGGAAGAATGAAGAATTAATTTTGCCAAAAAACCCATGAATTATTTTCCTTTAATTTCTTCTTGTTCTTCAGCAGAAAAAAAAAATAGAATCATGCATTGGGTTGGTTTTTTCCTATATACCTTGGGGTTGAAGTGGAAGGCAAGTCACTGTGATGAGAGGGAGAGATGCTCAGGCCAAGTCTCAGATCAGTGCTCAAATCTGCTCTGGAATTTCCATTGATTTTCCGAGAAAGAGAGGAAGAAGATGAAGAGGCAGTAGTGCTAGGACGATGATGATCAGGATAGTTGCTGCTATCTATTGAAGAAGATGATGAATGAGCTGCAGCAGCTCTTCCCATTTTCTATCAGATGTGTTGAGAAACTTCAGAGAGAAAATACATAAAAAGCCGCTATCTTAGGCCATGAATCTGTGTGTATATAATATATATACACACACACAAACTACACCGGAAAAGGAGAGGGAGCCAGATCCCAAACAAACTGAACAAAGTCATAACTTGAGCAGAAGAGTCTGGTCACTTTGGCACATTTGGCTACCACGGTGGCCCACCACATGTCCATGCATCATATCCCATGTGGATTTTTTTTTTCTTCTCTATTTAACGCCAAAAACTCCGGTGATGTTGTCTAATTAGGACGACTCTCGCACGGTCACAACATATGAAACTAATATCAAGTCAATATATCTAAAATACAAGACATTTATGTTTTTGTGAAAGATTTCTACCAATAATGTAGTCAGACAACCATACCTAAATTTTTCTCTTAACATTACTTGATAATTGAATTAAAATTTTAATTAAAACTGAACAACCTATCGAGGCTCCTAAAGGTGGACAAAGTTATTAGTATTCAATTAAAGGAATCAACTTTAATATAATCTTCTTTTACCTAATATAGAAAACTTGTCTACTTCTGGTCTTGGGTAATTTACTGACCAATGACCATCTTCCCGCCAAGTGAAGTATTTTTCTCATTTTTCTTTTTAATTTCTGGTTTTATGTCTGTGTAATTAATCATACATGCTTTCCAATCAAATTGCATGCAGGCCCTCCTTGATTATAAAGTTGGAGATTAGATAAATGTTAATTTAATCACATTAGATGTCCCACGTCCAGATTGTACAATTTTTTGAAAGCCCCCCATCAACATGATTAAATACTGAGGCTTTTAATTAGTTCATGTGTGATACTCAGTTTGCAGGGCTCTTCTACTGCAGCTGTACAGTTGTGAGTCCATAAGTGGATGCCAATAAATTTGGGGGGTTAATTTTTTCTGCAAAGTAGTTGGGTCATTTTACTGAAGGTATGTAATTATGTTGACATGAAATTAAGTTAGAGAGAAGAGAAGGTATTGAGAAATTATTGTTTAGTACTAGAATATTGTCACGTAGTATATCTAATTCAAGGAAATACAATTTATCGTATGATATATTTAAAAAATTATTATATAAAATCGTTGTATATCACATATTAACTGATTATATCACATGGTAATATTTTAGCATCATACAAATTATTTTTTTTTGGTACTTAAACGATGGCATCCATATATAGGGCCATAGACCACTTGGACTGGATAATATGTCTCCCTTCTCAATAATAATTGTGTATTAGACATTATGTTAAACAAATTTAAGAGCTTATATACTAATCTAGAGCTCTATCCAGACACAATGGACCAACCAAACCAAAGAACTTCATGGGCAGACAACTGTTTCTTTATTCTGAAGAACCCTAGCCCTTTATAATTAAGAAATAAGAATAAAAGAACATGAAGGAAAGAAGAGGAAGCAAAGGCAGTTTGCCTAGTATCTTATTGGAAACAAACAAACAGTTATTAAAGTAACAATCTCTTCTTTGGAGACCAGATGATCTGCCTTCTTGCCCTTTTTCTCTTTTTTTTAATTAAAAATTTAAATTATCTTTTAGGATGTGTTCTTAACTATATTATATTTTGTGATTAATTACACCTAATAAACATATTAGTTTGTTAATACGGGATAAACAGGTTTTTTGGGACAGCCTTCAGCGGCCATGCACAATCTTATTCCCTTCACATTGCTCCCCTCAGGCATAGACTCATGTTGAAGAGCCACCCAAAAAATCCTCTTAGATATTAGTAATGAGAGTGTCTCCAATGCAAAGACTCAAATTTTAGACTTACACTTTCATATTTGGATTTCAAAAAGGTGGTGGACTTATGTATTTTGATTTTCTTCGTCAATGCAAAGACTTAAACTTTAAGGCTCATTTTGAGTTTTAAGATTTGAGTCTTTGCATTGGAGAAGAAAACATTGGACTCAAAACTCATATTTGTGTTTGAGAGCATTTTTGCTCACCACCATAACTATGGTGTATGCTTACCATACATCTAATCATTTGTCACATGTCTTTTCACTTAACTTTGGTTAAATTTCATAATAAATGTTCATTTTTCAATTTTGAAAAAAAAAATTAACCAAGGTTAAGTGAAATGACACTTGGCAGATGATTAAGCGTATGATGAGCATACACCATAATTCATGGTGGTGAACAAAAATGTTCCCTTTGAATTTTAACAATTTAGTTATGTACATTGGAGATGATTGGACTCAAAACTTAAATCTCATTTTTCTTGGTGACTTAAATCTCATATGGAAACATAAATTTGGATCTCACTTTGCCTCAAAACTCTAATATGAAAAGTCTCATTTGCATTGGAGATGTTTTGCCTTATATTTAGACTCAAATATAAAATTTGAGTCCTTGCATCAGAGATACTAATAAACGATTAGTTAATTAATACACACACACATATGTATAATAAAGTGAAGTGATTGCTTTCCTTCCACCCATCAGACAAAACATAGAATCATCATCTACCACCTTATATTTCTTCTTGGCGTTGGCAACACCCTCTCCCTTAATTATATTTCTCACTTGACATACAAATTTAACATAAAATTGAACCCATTTCTTACTTGACATACAAATTTAACGTAAAACTGAACCTCAAATTTTATTGGCTCGTTGAACTTTTTGATGTATCAAGTTTCTTAGATCTAAAAGACTCGAGCGTATTAGTATTAAAGTCACATGTATGTATGATAATACTTAGATATTTGATGCACACTATTAGCATTCCGTTTAGTTAGAGCAACACGTGTGCTATTTGGTATTGGTTGTTGTAATAATGCAAGAGGTAAAAGCTAGGGGTAAAGGGAGGTTAAAGCAAAAAGAATGAACTGGAGGGACGAGGGGAGACAAAGATGTAACATGAAGGTTTGAAAGTTATAAAAAGTGCCAAAGTCGTAGGAGTTTCGATTGAGGTGTTTGATAAATTGCTTCAATTCAAAGACTTAGTTTTGCAAACGAGTGAGAAAGAGAAAGAGAAATAGAGATAGAGTAGAGAGAAAGTGGTGGGTTTATTGGGCGGAATTTAGTTGATTGCATGTTTGATAAAGTTGGGTTCATGTCTTGGCCTTTCAGAGACGTAGTCATGGTCTACATGAGTATCTAATACACGTGCAGAATAATATAGGATTAGCTATGTGAACTGAAATGAGTAACATTAATTTTTTTTTTAAAGATCACTACGTGCTTCCACAAATCATTGGTTGTTTCAATTCTAGCCCTCACACATGCTTGACCAGTTATTATGTTTTTGTAATCATCCCATTAGTTTGAGAGGTGCCGGCCGTGACCTTCTAGTTCATACTCATGAACTTTGTTTATGGTCGTACAATCTCAAAATAAAGGGGTTGCATGCAAGTATCAATCACATGTTACGCTAGCATTTGAAGGCTCCACAATTGCTACATACATTAGAGGCTGATAATGTCATGCGCAACTGACATTAGCATAATTCCTTTTAGACATATCATATATGCACATGTACACATATGCCCTAACGATGACCTCATATGCATCATCATTATCAACGAGATAACATATTTCCAACAATCGTTAGTTGTTTTGTTCCAACATTCGAACATCGTGATCGTCTTTTTATACAAGTCATAGGTTATCTATTGATGTGACCGAGGAAATCTTTCTCAAGTCATAGTTTATCTAAATGTATTAAATTGTTTTTATCATACATGTCACAGACGTGAAGTGCAAGTCTGGATTTCAAAGACGAGTGGAGTTAGATTCATGCCCCAAAACCCTCTCCACCATTCAAATGTTGGGATGATTTTGGCAAGTAATTTTAAGGGCACCTAAATTAAATTTGTTTATTTATTTTGGGGTGGGTGGGGGACAGGTAGGCAAGCTTGGTCTTGAAGAAAGGTTTAGGGTTCAAAGGGAGAGGGAGTGAGGGATAGGAGATTTGGGTTTGTAACAACCAAGCAAGAAGGGTATAAGAAAAGGTTGTTCCCCCTATATGTTGGTTCGGTCTGGCACAGCGTGCCTCTGCCATACATATATCTTTTTCTTACTTCAATGACATTGATCTTAATTACTTTGTGTACATCTCAAGCATATACATACGGGTATATACTGTATATAACAATATATATATATATATATATTTATACTTACATATTTTTATATCAATGTTGCTCAACTTTTTCATTGCTTCTTAATTGCCGATTACAATCTGATACATATAGACTAATAATTCACTAAAAATCGTACAAAAGAAAACACATTTCTAATTGTGATTTGACTCATTTATATAGACAAGGAGTTAGGTGCTTATATATATATAAAAAAAAAAACACTTCTAAATTCCATATACCATAGAAACTCACCATATATTAACGAAAACCATAGAAACTCACCATGTTTCAAACTGTAATTCGTTAGTAACGAAAAATTAATAATATTTTATAAAGAAATTAATGATTCTTTTATTTATAAGGGGGTAATTATTTTCGAATGCTCACCATATATAGAGATAGCTACTCTCTCACTTTCAAATTGTTCCAAACTGGCCTTGGCCATAGCTCCCAACATCTAATTACCACTGCCCCCATTGTCACCCACAAAATGTCATTTTCTATCTTATCCATTTCTTTTCTTCTTAAGGCTCCCACAATTTATGAACCCAATAAAGGTCATGCATGGGCAATTGGGGCACCGAAGAACCTCTCTTTTCTTTGCAACTTTATTCTCTCTTCCAATTCCAAGCTGTATCGTACTATCATGTGTGTTTGATGCCATTGCTAATTTTTCATTTAATCACTCCAATTCCTACTAATCTAGATATATATAGAGCTTAATCTCACTTTCTTTTCTAGTCCTTTTCCTTCTCAGTCAAATATACCAGAGTATTATTTGAGTTGATGAGTAGCCCCACCGACGCATTGTCTTCTTCCCGTGGCTGATTTATTTACTGCCTCGCTGGAGTGAGGGCACAACGCGATCAGTGGCGAATCTAGAATTCAGAGATTGGAGAGTCTTAGTGTCAGTGCCGATCCTGAGGGGGTATATAGTAGCATGTATATGAATATTACAAACTTGAGTCTTAACCCAAGTGGTATTATTGCTTTTTTACAGCGGCCTAGGAA